AGTCTTCATAGAAAATTTTTTTAAAAATCAAAATCCTATTTTATCCAAATAATTTCCTATGCCTCATGTCTTATTTCTTAGGTCTTCTCTTAAGTGTTTTGTTTTTACAACTCTGTATTTGCCTGCAAAGTCTCTGACACTATGGTTAAGCAAATAAGTATTATTTAACAGTAAGATACCTAAGATAGTACTGGTGTTTTAAAATCTCTTGGTATTTTTGACAAACTTCCCCAAATTCTAAATAAGGTTTTTTGACCTTTGATTTTCCAGAGGTCCCCTGGAAGATCTCAAGAGATCTGTACCCTTTCTCCTTACAAAAAGAGAAAGATAAATTAGGCTTACTTGATATATTATATTACATGGGAAACACTGTCAAGAAAAAACACTACAAACGATACTCAATATTTATACGGGTATGTTATTAATATGCCTTATGAATATTCCACATTAGACATTTAGGAATTGTATACAATTCCTGTAATTCCAGTTATCTTAAATTGTATGTCACAGAAATAACCAAATTTCCTCATCAACTGCATTATAGTGATGTTTCATCAGATTTTTTAAAAATTTTAATAACTTTATTTTAGGAGAAGAGCTTTAGATTTACAGAAAAGTTGGCAAAGATAGTAAAGAGTTTCATCAAATCTTTAAACATGGCCATTTTTATGTCTTTTGTCATTTATAATTATTGTAAAAGTGTTCCTGCAAAGGTGCTAGATCTTCAGTGAGACTCATGGGAAGGACTCTAACAAGAGCTGGTTTCTGATAACTTTCAGTTTATGCCACTGACTTAGGTAAGAATTTGTAGAACTCTAATGGAGAAACTGATGGCTTCGTAAAACTGCTAACAAAAAATCCATAAAAATTAATTACACGGGATTGAATGAACTACTGAGGACCATTATAGTTTTTATGACTTTGTGTTTATCAAGTATTGTTTTATTTTTTCCAGATTTAAGGAAACCTTTTTCTTTTAAGCTATCAATAATTTGGTTAAATATGCCTTTGTGAACAAAAATGAAACATGTTTTCTCTGACCTGATCCTTCCGGAATTCAGAATCTCTCAATGAATATTCCTATGGCTACAGTTATTTCCATAAGTTCAATAAGAATCCTTTCTCCTTGTAACGGACACAGCTGGAAGCACTGGTTATAGTACCAAGGCTTTGACTGTAACGTCATATGTGAGGATGCACGGAGAACAAAAAAGACGGGACAATTTTAAGAAACTAAGATTGATTTTATGGAACCAATAATGCCCCTTGGAAAACCTGCCTGGTACCTTTTTTTCAGAGTTCCCAGTAACCTTATCAGATGAGTTTAGGAAGGTCATTTCCTGGCAGGTATAGGGACTTCAGGGTATCTTGGGGACCTCCAAATGGGAGGAATTTAACCCACCTGAATATGGTTGACCCTTTAACAACACAGCAGTGAGGGGCGCCAACCCCACCCCTCACTAAGGACACAAATCTTCAGTCAGCCCTCTGTATCCACAGCTCTGCATCCACAGGTCCAACAAGCCGTGGACTGCGTGGTACTACAGTACATGTTTACTGAAAATCTGAGCACAAGTAGACTCATGCAGTTCAAGTCCATGTTGTTCAAGGGTCAACAGGCATAGCTACTGCAAGCTGTCTTCTCTTAAGTGTTTTGTTTTTACAACTCTGTATTTGCCTGCAAAGTCTCTGACACTATGGTTAAGCAAATAAGTATTATTTAACAGTAAGATACCTAAGATAGTACTGGTGTTTTAAAATCTCTTGGTATTTTTGACAAACTTCCCCAAATTCTAAATAAGGTTTTTTGACCTTTGATTTTCCAGAGGTCCCCTGGAAGATCTCAAGAGATCTGTACCCTTTCTCCTTACAAAAAGAGAAAGATAAATTAGGCTTACTTGATATATTATATTACATGGGAAACACTGTCAAGAAAAAACACTACAAACGATACTCAATATTTATACGGGTATGTTATTAATATGCCTTATGAATATTCCACATTAGACATTTAGGAATTGTATACAATTCCTGTAATTCCAGTTATCTTAAATTGTATGTCACAGAAATAACCAAATTTCCTCATCAACTGCATTATAGTGATGTTTCATCAGATTTTTTAAAAATTTTAATAACTTTATTTTAGGAGAAGAGCTTTAGATTTACAGAAAAGTTGGCAAAGATAGTAAAGAGTTTCATCAAATCTTTAAACATGGCCATTTTTATGTCTTTTGTCATTTATAATTATTGTAAAAGTGTTCCTGCAAAGGTGCTAGATCTTCAGTGAGACTCATGGGAAGGACTCTAACAAGAGCTGGTTTCTGATAACTTTCAGTTTATGCCACTGACTTAGGTAAGAATTTGTAGAACTCTAATGGAGAAACTGATGGCTTCGTAAAACTGCTAACAAAAAATCCATAAAAATTAATTACACGGGATTGAATGAACTACTGAGGACCATTATAGTTTTTATGACTTTGTGTTTATCAAGTATTGTTTTATTTTTTCCAGATTTAAGGAAACCTTTTTCTTTTAAGCTATCAATAATTTGGTTAAATATGCCTTTGTGAACAAAAATGAAACATGTTTTCTCTGACCTGATCCTTCCGGAATTCAGAATCTCTCAATGAATATTCCTATGGCTACAGTTATTTCCATAAGTTCAATAAGAATCCTTTCTCCTTGTAACGGACACAGCTGGAAGCACTGGTTATAGTACCAAGGCTTTGACTGTAACGTCATATGTGAGGATGCATGGAGAACAAAAAAGACGGGACAATTTTAAGAAACTAAGATTGATTTTATGGAACCAATAATGCCCCTTGGAAAACCTGCCTGGTACCTTTTTTTCAGAGTTCCCAGTAACCTTATCAGATGAGTTTAGGAAGGTCATTTCCTGGCAGGTATAGGGACTTCAGGGTATCTTGGGGACCTCCAAATGGGAGGAATTTAACCCACCTGAATATGGTTGACCCTTTAACAACACAGCAGTGAGGGGCGCCAACCCCACCCCTCACTAAGGACACAAATCTTCAGTCAGCCCTCTGTATCCACAGCTCTGCATCCACAGGTCCAACAAGCCGTGGACTGCGTGGTACTACAGTACATGTTTACTGAAAATCTGAGCACAAGTAGACTCATGCAGTTCAAGTCCATGTTGTTCAAGGGTCAACAGGCATAGCTACTGCAAGCGCAATCTTATGGTAAGTACTTGCCTTGGCTTCCAAGCATCGAGTCTTTTAAAACATCAAACTGATTCCTTCTGAAAATTTCCAGCAAAAAGCACCTATATGGTCAATTACTATTCTTGCTGAACTTATGTAAATAATCAGGCCAAGTTTACTGAAACTAGATTTAATTTGAAAACAGTTTAGTCTTACTGTGGTTATTTAAGTTAGAAATGGGGGTTGTTGTAGAGAGAGAAATCATGTTTCATTAATGTACTTTTGTGGATATCAGATTCCGGTGCTAATTGTCTCTAACATTTGGTTTTCTACCTGTTAACTATTAATAGACTGGATCCTGAATTAATCTAGTTCCCACCCCAAACTGCCACATGGATTATTTTGCGCTAAAGAGAATCAAGACCCAACAGAGCTGAGAAAAGCTTTCTATTCCTCCCTTAACTGCCAAAAAGAATTTAGGAAGGGGGTCTGCACCAGAAAGGAGTCATGACCAGAGACAACTTTTTCTTCTTCTTTTCATCTCAAAAGACTTACCTGCATGACAGGACAAACATCTGATCACCAAACGTCTGCTCTTCCCACTTTCCTGTGAATTGCCCTCCTCCCCTGTGAAGTCCAGCCCCTTATCTCAAGACAATATATAAACCTCAACTATCTGGTTGCCTTCATTCTATTTTTATGCAGATCCTGAATGTACAACATTAGATTTTCCTAATGTTAATCCACCTTATTCAATTTATTAGACCAAAGAACCTAGAAGAAAAGGAATTTTTCTACCCTTTCAATGTACACATACATACCCCAGAGTTTAGCAAAATTCAACAAGAAAGTTGTAACTTCTAAACACCAGGAATACTTTTTTTTTTCTCCCATTTTTGACTTTCTTTAAACTGAGACAACTGACATATATAACATTGTATTAGTTTTAGGTGTACAACATAGTGATTTGATACACGAATATATTGTGAAAGAATTACCACAGTAAGTCTAGATGTCAACCATCATCACTTCAGAGTTCCTTTTCCTGTGATAACTTTTAAGATCTACTCTCCCAGCAGCTTATAAATATACACTACTCTCTTAGCAGCTTATAAATGTACACTACAGTACTATTAACTGTAGTCATCATGTTTTACATTACAGAGGACTACATCTCTTAAGTTGAATTATTGATCTAGAATGTTTCCCAGTCTACAGGTCTCAGACTCCAAAGTTTTTACAGAGACAACTGAAGAAGCCTATAAACTTAAATAAATATTAAACATGGTCCACAAGTGAATAAATGTGAATGTATTTAAGTGTTTTTGAGATTAACACAATATAAATTATTTTGAAAACAAAACAGGTCAATTTTCATAATTTCTACAAACTACATGTTGGAATCATTTCCCAAATTGAAACTAGACTTAAATTTGAAAACAGTTTAGTCTTACTGTGATTATTTTTGTTATGGGTGTGGTTTGTTTGATGATTGCTTTCTGTATTTTGTTTTGAATTAAATGAAAGATGATTTTTTTTTTTTTTTGTTTTTAAAATTAAAAAAGTCCATTAACCAATTCATTTGATTAAATCTGATTTATATAAAGATACATTTATATAAAAATAATTTATTTTTTACTTCTTTATTCCTTAAGTTTTTGTGTTTGAATGCATGTCTACTAAGCAAATGTTTTTGAATTGGCTTTTAAATATTCCACATATTATTTGTGATTTGAAAAAGAACTTTAGAAGTTTTTTTTTTTTTAAACTTTAGAAGTTTGAAGAACTGTCACCTGTAATAGTATGTATACTTCTGAATCAGAATTTGTTACTTACAACTCAGCAAAGGTCTTCCAGTCATCTTCACTGATGCATGGCCGAGTATGGCTAAGTGCAGTCATTAAATGTGACTGGCTAATAGCCAAACTGGTTCTGATTGGTCCTGGTGGGTTAAGGGCATCATCCTCCTTAAACAAAAAATAAAATGACAGAAAGTTAACTAAGGGACATAATGAAAAAGAGTTATTTGCTTTTGAAAAAGAATATAATTTGCTTTTGCCATTTTCTTGGGACTGTGCCTTCCCTTTCTCATAAGATTACCAAAAACTGTTAGCACATAACCATTTGACTGATTGATGTGTTTCAGCCCTTTATAAAGAGAGCACATTTACAAATCAAAAAAATACATATCCAAAACAGGAAAAACAATCTGTAAGAAGTTTTACAATTATGACGAAGGGGGAAGCCTTACTCCAGTTTGGCTCCGGTATCTGCCTTTGATGGTGCTGATATCTGCCCTCAGTTGATCTCTCTGCTCCTGTGTGAGTTCCTGATAACCCTCTTGGGAGGCTGTTCTGAAGAGTGGAGGCCGTAATGACTGATCTTTCCCAGGAGCTCCGGGAAACTCCTGAGTCAGGGAGCTCGGCGCTGACAGGCACTGTGAGCTCTGCAGGGTTAAGTACGATAGAGAGATGGGAGGGAAGGGAAAAGCGCGAGGGAGAAGAAAGTCATGTACTTGCCAAAAGATAAAATGACAGACTTCCAGCAGCAAAACTTTAACACGGGTAAGCTTACATTTTAACTAGCTAAAATTTAAGCCGGTTTAAAATATGTTCATATTCTATAAAGGATCGTCTATACCTACACGGTTGACCCACCACAGAGTGAAAACTGCCATCAAACAAGGTGTTCTTTATGCTTTGTTATAAATCTGCCCCTGATGCTCCAGTGATAGGGTATACTAAGGTTCTGGGACATTTCTGCATGTTAAGAAACAGAAAACAAGGACTAGAGTTAAAACTGCTTACAGTTCTTGAGAATAAAAATGGGTTACTTTTATATTTTTTAAAACCTAATTAAGGAAATCTACCTAAAAAATTACTGAATTTTTGTAAAAATGTTAAGTTTACCAATAAAGCAACAGTGAATCACTGTCTTCTGAGATAATGTGTTGAATGCTATTTTAATTTAGAAAAATGCTATTGCCCAAGTTTGATCTGGGCTTCCCTTGTAGCTCAGTCGGTAAAGAATCTGCCTGCAATGCAGGACACCCAGGTTCGACTCCTTAGGACAGGAAGATCCTCTGGAGAAGGAAATGGCAACCTACTCCAGTATTCTTGCCTGGAGAACCCCATGGACAGAGGAGCCTGGCGGGCTACAGTCCATGGGGTCACAGACACGACTTAGTGACTAAAACACACAAATTTAATCTATACATTTTCCCTGTTGAAACATTACTAATAACTTTTTCACTATGCTTATACTTTCTACCAGAAGTATTACCAAAAGACATTTTGTTGTCAGAATTTTTGACATTATCATACCAAATTTCTCATTATCCTCAACTGTTCTACAATAAGAGAATTTAAGTTTAACATAAAATGGATCTGCTACTGAGATGTTTTAAAGCTGCTAATGAAGAGAGAAAAACCTGAAAGAAACCAAAGGGTGATCACAACCACTGGCTACCTTGGCTCCCCTTACTGCCAGCCCTGTCTTCACAAGGAATGAAAATGATTAGTGTACGAAAAGACTGCTTTACTGATGGAGTCACACCAACCAGAAAGAACACGGGGGGCTGGTTAGGACACAAACTGAACCAACATGGCTTGCTATTTCAGAACTGTACAACTACATGAGTTACCAAATCAGAAGAGGTCCCATTTCCAAGTTCTGATTCGTAAGAGCTTCCAAAGTAGAGCCGGTACATATTGAACTTTGATTCATCTTGAAGCACCTCCGACATCTCCAGAGAAACCAGGGATTGCTCTAGGCCACATTCTCCGTCTCCAGCTGAATCATCAGAGCCACTGCTGTGGTTAAGAAAAACCATTGAAGACAGACTCAGGTCACTATCAGAGCTGGAACCTCCATCCTAAAACATACAAAAGGACAATCAGCTGTAAAGCTCTGAATAATCACAATTCAAAAATAAACCACACAGCATTCTAACAGACCAAGGAAACTCCAGGCCCTTTTTACAAAAGTTCTTATCGATTCTCTAGTGGTTCTGAGGCATATCACATAATTTTAACTATTAAAATAAGGAAAGACAAAATGGAATATACAGGTAATTTGCCAACCATCTCCCCCAAAACTAACAAAGCTAGGATTCAGACCTCTGGATTTTATTTTCATGTCTCTTTAAATTCATATTTTTCTATTCTGAAATGAGAAAGCAAGTCTAAAACATGGTTGATGCAACATTATGGAGTGCTTTACAAATAAACACCCTTTCTGCTAGTGAAATGGGGCAGGGGGAGGAAACACCTTCAATGGCTTACCAAAATAAGTAGCACAAACTTGGAAGTATCTAATTTAGTCCCTGCAATAACTTCCAACAAAATGTGTATATAGGAAAAGCCTCCCTAGAAAATATGTGGTAAAGTCCATAATGTGGCAGAGTTCAAATTCTTTGATGCAAAAATTAAAATATTATCCTTAGAGAAAAAAACATTCTGGGGCTGGAGTACCAAAAGTACAAGATAAACCTAGAACATCTTGTCCTGTAGGGACGCAGGTGATCAGAGAAAGAGGACAACACACCACGAAGGCAGAAGCCACCAAAAGGGGCTCCTTCTGGCCAGATCCGGGACAGTCTGAGCTTCAAAATAACTATTTGATGATTTTTTTAAAAAAGCAAAAAATTTGAAATCCGCAATATAATTCCTGATACCTCAATTCAAAGGATACCCTTCCACACACCAACTATATTTTGCCAATAGTAAGGTAAGGTCAAAGAAACAGACACCAAATTCTCCATGTAATTACAAATTCTCTACAAATCCAGTATCCCAATTACGGTACACATGACTAAAAGCAAATTTCTATAAACTGAAGTCGTTCAAAAATAAAAATTTTTTTTTAAGGTTGAAACTGACACTGAACTGCTCCTATCACCGTAAGACACCACAGTAACGGTCTCCTCCAATGACTTACCTGGAGCCCACAGGACAGCAGCCTTCCGTGCAAGGCCTCTAGCTGGGCATTGTAAAGTAGCGCTTTTAGATCAGCTCCCGTAAAGGAGTCGGTCACTGACGCTACGTGCTGAAGATCCACATCATCTGCCAGAGGTAGAGACTCACTGAGAACGTTTAAAATTTCAAGACGTGACGCCTGAAGGGAGAAAAACTCATTGACTTAACAAATAACATTGAATATAATATTTTCAACTATGCATCTTACAGGATTTTTCTTATACATTTACTTCATATATCTAATAAGTTTTACAAACAAGTTGAGGAATGTACCACCAGGCTACAACTGTCCTCCTTGGTCCTTTTTGTCTAACAGAAGTAACGCAGGGAGGAAAATGAATGAAAATCGACATTCTCAACCATTCAGTGTAGGTAATTTCTTAGTGCTTATCTTCTGGATTTGGGCAAAGGAGCCAAGAAATGTTTCAAAAAGAAAATTAAAGTAATTGTTACATGTGATATACATTTATACCTTTGACTACTGATTTGTCTATTTCTTCTTTCACTTATCCATTTGTTTCTAAATTTGGAAACACAGGACTAGAGTGGTTAAAAGGCATATCTCTATGTAACCGGCATGGACACTTCCTATATTACTATGCTTGATTCTGTATCAGTCTTCTGTCAAGATGAGGTGTGTGATCTCTGAACACAGGGAACATGGACATCAAAACTCTGTTTCCCTCCCTTTTTTCCATCTGGCTAACACAAAGTCTTCAGATGGGAGTTTGCATGGGATGGCTGGGCCAAAGAAAGGCTTTGCATCTAATTCAGAATCTTTTCATGCTGTAAGAAAACAATGACTAGGGCCTTTGCCAAAAACTGGTCTTCTAAGGACAACTGCTATTACCTGGCAGAAGTAAAGTTCACAAGGAAAGTGGCGCGTGTGTAGGTATATGAAATTGTCACCTGATCAGGAGGAGGACAGTATACACATTTATCTAGTCGGCCGGGCCTGAGCAGGGCAGGGTCAATCAAGTCAGGGCGACTAGTGGCAGCCAGTACATAAACACCTGGGGGAAAGAAAATACTTTACTAAATCCTGGGGGAATCTGGTTACTAGAAGGAATTTCTGTATTTACAATTATTACCCTGCAAGCCTTCGACTCCATCCAGCTGAGTCAGCAACTGGTTAACCACACGATCTGTGACCCCTGTGTTATCGTGGCCGCGTCGAGGGGCAATGGATTCAAATTCATCAAAGAAAAGGATGCAGGGCTTTGCGGCCTGTGCTCTGGGGAAACAAACAGCATCTCATAGTTGAACAGGGCCTCTGAGTTTGTGATTTCATATATATATATATATATATATATCTGTGTACACATGCATATATATGTATTCAATTTTTCACAACAAACCCTTAAGAAAGGGTAATTATCTTTTTAGTAAACTAGGTCTTAGAGAAGTCAGGGAAGATTCATGCCTTCTGGACCAGTCTTATTCAATAAGTTAAAAGCTTCTTTGATCCTTATTACAAGTAAACTCTTTTCAGTATGCTTTGGCCACCTGCACTTCTTTGGTGCAATGTCTCTTCATGTCTTCTGTGAATGTAAAATTTGGCACACTTATTATGTTACCTTCTTTTTAATTAATACAAAGTTAGTCAATTAATAAAACTAAACAAAGTTCAAGTTAGGAAAAAACATATGACTAAAATTATTTTATAGAGAACCTTACAAAATAAAATGAAAATAAGTCCCATCTCTGGTAAAAGGATAGACTAGAGATCTGAAGAATCGCCCTTAATACAAAATAACCATCCGGTTGATTTAAAAAAAATTTTTTATTACATACATGGCAATTAAGATAAATCTGGCACCGACAATAGACTGGATTACCTGTGCCTTGAATGTCTGGCAAAACTCTCTTAAAAAACCAAAGACATCTGATGTTTGACTTCTGCAAGAATTTTTAACTAGTGACTCATTTTTTCCCTATAGGTACAAGAATATTCAGACTTTGTTTCTTCTTTGCTTGACTTTGGTCAAATATATTTTGTCTATGTTGCCCAAATTTCAAATACACTGGCATAAAATTTATACTACTATTTCATAATATTCTCTTATTATCTTTTTCATCGCTGGGACTTGGTCTGGTGGCAATGGGAAGTGTTCAGGGTCTCCAGCCTAAAAGTCAAAGTGTCAGTCGCTCAGGCATGTCCAACTCTTCCTGACCCTATGGGACTGTAGCCCGCCAGGCTCCTCTGTCTATGGAATTCTTCAGGCAAGAATACTGGAGTCGGTTATCATGTGCTTCTCCAGGGGATCTTCCCAAACCAGGGATCAAACCTGCATCTCCTGCATTACAGGCAGATTCTTTACCGTCTAAGCCACCAAGGGAAGCCCAACTAAATGTATTGGGGGGGCCCTTATCCTTTATTTTAACTTGTTTTAAAAGAACAGAGTCCACATTACATTATTTCTTTGAAACTTACTACAATTGCTATGCATGGCCTGACATATGGCCAATTTTCAAAAATGTTCCAGGTGTGCTTAAAAAGAATGTGTATCCCCCAATTGGTGGGCACATATTCTAAATACCCTTCCATCAAGCTTACTGAATATGTTGTTTAAATCTTCTAAATTTTTACTCTTTTTCTTTACTATTTTTAAATTAATAACTGAGAACTGTGTTAAAATTTTCCACTATGAAGACAGATCTGTCAGTTTCTCTTTGGAGCACTATAAATTTTTGCTTTAAATATTTTGAAGTTACAGTATTAGATACAATTTTATAACTGTAATATCATTCTGGTAAATTGAACTGTTGGTCAGTATGTGGTTGATTGTCTTTATCTGTAATAAGGTTTTCCTGGTAATAGTCTTTTCTTAAATTGGGTGGTAGAAATAAGAGTTCATTTTATTATTCTTTAAAATATATAGATATGTTATATATATTCTAATTGCATATTTTATAATAAAATTTTAGTAAAGGAACAAAGTGGCTTTTTCATTCATAAGCTTTCTGTAATCCCATCACATTTAAGTATTATTTTCACTCTTAAATATAAGCTTCTGTATTCACATGTATTTTTAAATAAATGCAGTAATAATTGTACTCTATTTTAATTAAGTTGGCCACATGGAATCTTATAAGAGATAAAACTAGTAATAATGTGCTTCATATACTTTGAGCATCTATGAATAACCAATAATGATTTCAACATTTCAGAAATATTTCTATTATAAATATAAAACCAAATAATTTCTACAGCTTAGTATGAAAAATGTTGTATACTTAAGTAGTATTTGGTAAAACAGTGAAATTTTGTTCTCCAGCTTATTAATAACCTATATTAAATCACAGCTTTCAAAAATCAGATTTTTAAAAAAAACAAGATCAACAAGTATTGACTGATAAATAACCACAGAGTTAGTTAAATAAACATTCATAGGGTACTAACCTAATAAAAACATCCCGAACAGCTTGTTCACTTGCTCCAATATATTTGCTGAGTAACTCTGGTCCCTGTTAGGTAAAATAAAATTAAATTATAATGAATTCAAAACTATCTAAAAACAAAGTATTTTTGTCCATGGCTAAGTCTAAATGTAACAATAGAAAACATTTAATTAAATGGATTTCTCCAAAATGCATGTAAAAACTTAGCCTAAGTAGAATAAATACTATACCACATGTTCTATACCTGATGTATCCTTTGCCTAGAACGTCTGTTCTAAGTCTCATGGCTTCTTGCTTCATTTCATTCAGACCTCTGACAAAATGTCACATCCCCAGAAAGGCCTTGCTGACAACACCATCTACAATTCACTCGAGTTGCTTTACATCTTTCCTTGACTGTCTTCCTACATAGTATCCACGACCACCTGACAGTGTATTATACATTAAAGTGTCTGTTTACTGTCTCTCTCCAGTAACAGAATATAAGCTCAGAAAAGACAGCTTTATTATCGAATCCAATAACAGTGCCTGCTACATGGTAAGTGTTAAATAATTAATTTAGTAAAGTAATGAATGGTTTAAAAACGGAAAATGTTCCATCTTTCTCTAATCTTTGGAGACTCCAAAATACATGTAATGAGACATTAATTTCTTTAATCAGCATCTTCAATTACTGAAACCAATTTATTTGTTCAATAGATAAGTTATTTGAAGAATAAATTGTTTTTCCTAAAAGTCAACTGAAAAAACTTTCAAAACAAGCTTTAGTACATATAACAAAATCAATAATGAGGACAGTTTTTCCTTAAATTGGGATATTTAAAAAAACTGAATAAGCCCAACGTGGTCTCCAGTGACAAATCAGTACCATGAAAAGACCAAATATGGTCAGGATATGTGGCCAAAATAAAGAATTTCTAATATTCAGCCATCATTTGATATCTTTTAATATACTAGTATTTAATTGTATTTTCTCAACATAGAGAACTATAAAGGATGAAATAAGAAATAACTAAAACAACATATTGGTGTCAGTGAAAGGCCTGCTTCTGACACACACCTCCTAGGACCCACCCTGAACGACAGCCTCAGCTCTCTACCGAGACTCCTCCCAACTGTGCTCTAAAGACTTACTAAAGGGGAGAGATAAGATGTTCCCCTTAATGGAACAACCCAAAATACAAAAATATTTGCAAGTGTTAATCTTGAAAATATGTTAAAAAAAACACACACACAATAAAGCTACATTCTAGTGACAAGTGAAGAAGAAAGAATGTGATCATTGCTCTCCATCAATGCCAGGATACTCAGGTAACCAGCTCACAAAAACTGATGTGATAAAGAGGGTAGATGTAACACAACTGCAAATTACTAAACTGGCTTTCAGATTATAAATCAATTTTGAATAAGATTACAATATAGGTTTCCCTGTTTTTTCCTCCCTTTCTTTTTGAAGTTCACTTTACACTACTTCGCATTCATGAAAGACCTATTCAGTAACTGTTTTCACTAACAAGAAATCCAAAGAAACACCTCATGAAACACTTATGAAATGGAGCAGAAGTGAAAACAGCACTGTGTCTGTTTTGCTGCGAGCCATCACCGAGGCAGCACACGCCCCAGCAGCGGGGCTGGCGCCGCCAGGCCTCCTCCCAAGCCTTCTCGTTCTACACGCAGAACTGCGCTGTCACAGCCGGAACCGCGTCTGGGAGCAGCGGGGCTTTACCTAGTTTACTCTCTTCATCCACTAGCAGGATGTGTCTGACTGTTAGTTTGCTTTATACCATTCTGGTTTACGGAAATGTTTCACAGAAACACCCTACTTCCAGGTGGTGGGGGAAAATTTGCTTATGATTAGTTTGCCTTGAAATGTAATTGCTCTTTGGCAAATACACACGGCTGGGGTGCTGACACTGTACCAATAAGACATCCCATCCCAGACCATAATGACACACCAGTGGTGGAGTGAGAAGCACTACTCAAAATGATCCACTGCGTGCCAGTGAGGTCTGGCTCTCTGCAGCCCCACGGACTGTAGCCTGCCAGGTCCCACTGCCCATGGAATTTTCCAGGGAAGAATACTGGAGTGGGGTGCCATTTCCTACTCCAAGGGATCTTCCAGACCCAGGGATCAAACCCGAGTCGCACGCGTTGGCAGGCAGTCTTTACCACTAATGCCACCTGGTGACTGCCTGGTGATCTGCTAGCAAGTCCTTTTTGTACCACACTCACCCTGCATCTGAGAAAACTTAAACTTGGTGTGATGCAGCAAGGGGGAGATACAGACAACAAACAACAGAAACAGAAAAACTGCACCTTCTGCCTGAGAGTGGTCTCCAGGCTCTAGTCTTCTAGCTCTTCTTCCCCCTTCAAGTTTGCTCTTTTATCTGAATATTTACACATAATTCTATTGCTGCCTTAAGCAAAAACATAATAATAAGCCCTACAAAAGAGAGATGCCTCATTATTAATTTTCCCACACAGCTTAACAGACTGATCACTGCTTCTACTATTAATAGTTTTCCAAATATGAGACTAACCCACTATCAAGAAACAAATGGGGTTGGCGAGGATATGGAAAAATAGGTATACTCACTCTCACGCTGCTATACATGTAAAACGGTATAGTCACCATGAAAAAAGTTTGGTGGTTCCTCAAAAAGTTACATGCAGAATTACCTTATGAGTGATTATATATATAATTATACTCTGAGGCATATGTGTATTCCAGAGAACTGAAAGCATATGTCCACACAAAAATTTACACACACATGTTTAAAGTGGCATTATTCATAACAGCTAAGAAGTGGGCACAATCCAGATGTTCACCAGACTATGGCATATCCACACCAACTTAAAAAAGACTGAATATCATCCAGCCATAAACAGTCCTGAAGTACTGAGGCACGTTACAACTTGGATGAACCCTGAAAACATCATGGTAAGTGAAAGAAGTCAGACACAAAAGGTGACACACGGTATGATTCCTTTTCTATGAAATATCTAGAACAGGCAAATCCAGAGAGACAGAAAGCAGACTGGTGATTGCCAGGGGATTGAGAGGGGGATGGAGAATGTGATGAAAAGGTTTTGCAACTAGAGAGATGGTGGCTACACAGTACTGTGAATGCATTAAATACCACTGAAATGTACACTTTAAAATAATTATGTAAGTTTTGCCTCAATTAAAAAAAAAGAAAAAAGAAAAATGCCGAACATACCTTGACACTAATAAAGTTCATTCCACTTTCCCGAGCAATGACTCCAGCTAGTAAGGTTTTCCCTGTCCCAGGGGGACCATACAGCAGCACTCCTGTCCTCTGTCGTATGGGCAAGTTGGCAAATAGTTCCGGGTACTGAAAAATACAAAAATATGACAAAGAGCTCAACTCTAAAACAAATGACTGAGCAGCCAAAGATCAGTGTACAGAAAAAAGTCCTTGGACGGTAACAACTGCCATCTCTGTGAGTGCAATGACAGAAAAAAACATTCCTACTTAAAGTAATAAATGAACTCAAAGGAACTATCACAGATTTTTCCCACTGGACCACGGAATACATTCCACATAAAATGCAGATAAATGGATCTGAACTTCTTTCCACTTTTCCTGTTTTATCCCCCCAAACATTAATAAAAATAAGTATACTGCCCTCCACTTGTATGGCTCATGGGGCAAGCTGTGACTGCTACATCTATTCAAATATACCCAATCAAGGAAAGAAAATAATAAAGAAACATGTGTAATGATAGTAATAAAATCTCCCGGGACATTCCATGCTGAACAAGTAGTGTGACTGCTCTATTTTACCCTCTAAACCACCAGCTTCTCAGCAAGAAAGCTTTTTGAACAGCAAGAAAACTGTCTGGCTCTGTCAGCAGACACCTGGTCTCCCCCGGGCTTGTGCTCAGCCGTGTTCAACTCTGTGCTGCCCTGTGGACTGCAGCCCGCCAGGCTCCTCTGTCCACGGGATCCTCCGGGCAAGACCACTGCAGTGGGCTGCCAGTCTTCTCCAGGGGATCTTCCTGACCCAGGCATTCAACCACTGCAGGTGGATTTTTTACTCCTGAGCCACTGGGGCACTGGGCTCTGTTGGGTATGTCTATTTAGTCCCACATGTTGACAAAATTCCAACCTCACCTTGACCTCCACTCTCATCTGAATGAGGTCCCAAAGTCAGCATTTATGTGGATGGCCTCACATACTTGGACACTAATGCTGATGCCCAGACCCAGCCTTCGGGTCATGACCCTGCAGGCCACGTCCCACGCCCATGTCCTTCCACACAGGCTTTAACCCCCGGTCATGGGCGGCACTCAGTACGTCCCAGTCCTCACCAGCCAGTTCCCAGGACTTACCTGTAACTGAGGGCCTGACCCACTTCTTTATCTTTGGTCGGGTCCCTGATCTCATGCAAAGATCCTTCTCTCGGGTTTCTCATCCAAACACACCACCTTCTAGATTCTACTTCTGATCTAAAGAACAGTCAGCCTGGTCGGTGCTGCCTGCTAACTCTGCCTTTCTAGACTGTCAACCAAATCTGGCTTGATCCATGAGTTCTGTGGACCTCACTGACTCTCCCACCTTCCAGCTGATTTCTGTTTCTGCTCAATCCTAGCTGATGGTTCATATGCTTCAGTGAAATGTGGATTATTCAAGAAAAATCCAAGAACTCTGAAATTGACATCAAACTGTATTTTTACTACAGGACTTCCCTGGTGGCAAGTGGAGGAGAATCCTCTGCCAGCCAATGCAGAGGACATGGGTTCGATCCCTGGTCCAGGAAGATTCTACATGCCTTGGAGCAGTAAGCCCACGTGCCACATCTACTGAAGCCCGCGTGCCCTACAGGGCCTGCGCTCCACAACGGGAGACGCCACTGCAATGAGAAGCTCAGACGCTGCAAGGAGCAGCAGGCCCTGCTCACCACTAGAGAAAACCCCACAAAGCAATGAAGACCCAGTGCAGGCAAAAATAAAAATAAATTATTTACTGTAAATATCACCCCAGCTTTATGGGCAAGGACTATATCAAATACTTAAAAAAATCTGTTCAAGTGCCCAAAATAGGACTGGGCCTTTATTTGGTAACAATAAATTCCTGTTGGGTCAAACTGAGACTGGGAAAGCCAACACATACAGCCAGAGCCAATGATTCAGGGGCTTTACAGGAAGCAGGGAGTACTCAATTTTTTTTTTTAAAGTACCTTCGCTGGTAACTGGATAGTGTCCACTAGTGTCTGCCGCACTTCATGTAGTCCACCGATCCTATCCCAGCCCAGGTCCCTCGGTTTATGTAGGTTGACATCTCGCAGAGACACAGGAATAAATCCTCGGAGAGCCTTTTGGAAGTCCAATGTTGTCAAAACTAATTCTGTTTAAAAATAAACACAACTTCTGCTGGTAGTCACATCTACATATGAATTCTCATACAGCTGACTCACTTACCCAGCCTGCCCTCCCCTCTAGTAACCACCACTCTCTTCTTCATATCTACGTACTTATGTTTGGTTTGGTCTGTTCATTTATTTTGTTTTTTATGTTCCACATGAATAGAATCATGTGGTATTTGTCTTTCCCCATCTGATTTCACTTAGCCAATCTTAACTCGGTTAAAAAAAATGTCATCAACTTAGCTGGAAATGCCCATTTTATACTCAAATACCTGCTTAATTGAATGCTAACATGGACTATATTTAATTCTTACCTTACTACATTTCTCCACAATGGAAGGAAGGAACCAAATTTTGGTTTAACAATAAAACGTACCTTCCCTGCTGTACACATTCTGATGAGAGAGACGAGAATGTATGGCTCGATCCACAAGCATGGTAAAATCTCTAGCCACAAACCCTTCTGTTTCTTTAGCTATACGCTGCAGATCAAGACCGGTGAACCTCTTCAGGTCACAGTTCAGTTTATTTTTTATTATAGTATGCAGAATTTCACATCTTTGATCCTAAGGAAAAAAACACGAAATTCAAATTTATAATTTTACTTGAGTGCAAACTTTTGTACATGTATTTTGAGGAAGACCCGGTTGCCATAATCTGCAGGGACAGAAAGCAGCCTGTGTTTGCCTGCAGATAGACTGGGGGGTGGTGACTGCAAAGGGCCACCAAGGAAACGCTGGGGAGGGAGGGAAACGTTTGCTGCCTTAACTGTGGTGATGGTTTCATGGTATATACATAGGTTAAAACTCATCAAATTGCATACTGTAATTTTTTATTTTATTTTTTGGTTGCAACATGTGGCTTGCAGGATCTCAGTTTCCCAACCAGTGACTGAACCTGGGCCACAGCAGTGAAAGAGCTGAATCCTAACCAGTATTCCATCGGGAAACTCCCAAATTGTACACTTTAAATAGTGAGTTTGTTGTCTTCAACTTTTTTATACCTTGATAAAGCTGTAAAAAGAATCACATTGATAAATGACTGCTCTTTCTCCAGTAAAAAGGTTTTTATTTTGGCTCCTTTAAGAGTATTTTGCTGTTGTTATTCCCATAAAACATAATTCTAAAAACATTCAGTGGTCGATATCACTATGTTCTGTCATGCTTAATAACAAGTATACTTTTATCCTTTTCTTTCCCTTCAGCTTTGAGATATAATTGACAAATAAAATTATAAGATATTTGAAGTGTACAATGTGATGGGTTTTTTTTAAGTAAACTTTTTACCTTGTATTGGGGTATAGCTGATTAACAAGACAATGTTGTAACAGTTTCAAGTGAGCAGTGAAGGGACTCAGCCATACATACACATGGGTCCATTCTCCCCCAAACTCCCCTCCCACCCAGGCTGCCCCATAACACTGAGCAGGGTTCCCTGTGCCATAGTCGGTCCTTGTTGGTTATCTGTTTTGAATACAGCAGTGTGTACCTGACCACCCCAGACACCCTAACTACAATAACAGTTAATTAGCATATGGTCTGAGTACTTGGCGTGGATGCTAGGTAAGAATTTTAAACTGAAAGTTAAAATATGGCTGCCTGTCTGGAACATTCTTGGAGTGCGCTGCCACTAAAACCATCAGGACTGTAAGCCCCCAAAGGAGATGATGGGTTGTGTGTGCTTATGTACATTTGGTCTTTGTCATGCTTCTGGCACAGAGTTCCTAAAGCCCGTAAAATGTCCTAAATGATAAGAGTGATAAACATGTACTGACATTCCTAACAAACCCCTTTCAGCCACATCTGAGTTTATGTTAATCAGGTGACTTTTGGGAGCACCTACCTACGGGGGTTGGTTGCCACAGTAACCTGCCTAGGCTAGAGAACTGAAGTTTTCAGTCCCAAGCCCTGATTTCCCAGGAGGGAGAGGGACTGGAGGCTGAGTCAGTGCCAATGGCCAATGATTTAATTAACAATGCCTACGTAACAGAGTTCCCAGAAAACCCCAAAAGGACAGGGTCTGCAGAGCTCCCAGGCTGGAGAAGGGCTTCCCTGCGGGCTCAGACAGTAAAGAACCCACCTGCGGTGCAGGAGACCTGGGTTCGGGCCCTGAGTTGGGAAGACCCCCCAGGAGAAGAACTGGCAAGCCACTCCAGTATTCTCGCCTGGAGAATCCCGCAGACAGAGGAGCCTGGCGGGCTGCCGTCCATGGGCTCGCAACGAGGCGGACACGACTGGGCGAGGAGCGCACGCTCTCAGGCTGCAGACCCGGACGCTTCCACCTGCCACCGACCAAGTCCCAAACTCCGCAAGGACAGAAGCTCCTTTGCGCCCGACCTCATCCTGTGTGCCTTCTCACCTGACTGCTGATCTGTGTCTGTTCATATTCTTTGTAACACACTGGTAATCCACTGAGTGAACTAGTTTTCCAAGTTCTGTGACCTGCTATCGAAAATTAACAGAACCCAAAGAGGGGGTCGTGGGAACCTCTGACGGAAAGCCATCCAGGAGCACGGGTTAACACTGGCATCTGGCGTGGAGGGCATCTCGTGGGGCTGAGCCCTCAACCTGGGCAATCTGATGCACTCTGGGTAGTGTCAGGGTCAGGCTGATGTGGGACACCCGGCTGGTCTACAAGGATCGCTTGGTGGAGAGCGGAAGAAACCCCACATCCTGGAAACGGGTGTCAGAATCACAGTGGGCACAGAATATCAGTGATGGCAAAAAAAAAAAATGTTTTAGCTAGTCACATTTTTAAAAGGAGAAATTCTTAAAGGTAAATATATGAGGTAATGGATGTGTTAAGTAACTTGACAGTGGTAAATATTCCACAATGTATATGTATATCAAATCACTGTGGTACACTTTAAACATATACAATTGTTCTTGTCAACTGTATCTCACTAAATCTAAAAAGAATTCTAATTTCCATAGTGTATTTACAGATTTTACTGATGTGGAATGAAGCAGTTCAGAATTTTCAGGGTTTTTTGTTTCTTTTTAAATGGAGTAAAAAAAAACTTTAATAAGAAAAACAGAAGAAATGTTATTTTCAAAAAAGATATTTCCTTGGAAAGTACCTGGTAATATTTCAGATGGTTACAGATGAAAATTTTGTATCTAATAAAACATGCACTGAAGGTTGATTTTAAGTCTTCTTAAGATCACTAACATAAGCATTACATTTAAATTAAAGTTATACATCATTAATAAAATGGATAAATAATTTATATGAAAGGGGACACATTTCAACAGTCTTCACAAGTAGTAAGTTACCTGGTCAGGAGGTTGAATATGCTGGACGCACTGGAATATGTGAACTCCTTGAGCAGAAACAAGTAAGGGATGTAGAGAATGTTGAGACTGGCTTGTCGCAATCAACGCAACCAGACTTCCCATGGAAATAAATTCTTTCACCACATCGTTCAAAGCTGGAATTGAGCAACAAAGTGTAAAAGCTTATTATATAAAAGTGAAATTTTAAAATCATACACTAATTAAAAATAATAACCTAATTACTTTACAATATTGTAGTGGTTTTTTGAGTGAAAATCAGAACAAATTCAACTTAAAAAAAAAAAAAATAATAACCTAAAGTCGAGCTTTAAAGTAGAGTATGAAAGGTATGGCCCCTCTTTACCTTTCAAAAATTAAATCTTCCACTCATTCTGCAGTTCATCTAGACTGAGGACCTAGTACTGGCCAGGTTCCAGTTACTCTAACAGAGGCAAGGGAAGCAATGTAAATGTCGTGTACTCAGAACCATGCCTAGTGAGGTTGGTTCTTACTAGGTAAACTTCTGGATCTTAATAGATAAATGAAAAGGAGTCTCTGAAATAAGTATTATAGAAGGATGATAAACTTTCATATTGTATTCTATTGAGCAAGCAAAATACAGCTTATATACTTATGGCTTTCTGGACAACCTAGCTCAAGAAAGGTTTGACTGGTATGAGGTAAGAACCGAAACAGGCCTTAATAACGTACATCTGATCCTGACCGAGGAATCTGCAGCATTCCCTTAAACACGAGACTAGCAAGTCTTTCAGACACTATGAGATTCCAAATGTGAAATTAACACTATTTTGGTGATCCAGCCATTATGGTTGCATTCTGGATTCATCTCTTAAGAATCCTGATGCAGATGAACGCTGTCAAATCCTCCAACTCCTGATCCCATCCTCTCCTAGAACCCAGAGCTCCACTGGAATTGCTTGGACCTCTGCACCTTTGCCGGTGGATCACACTTCCTTTGTGCCTTCATTAGGCTGAAGCCACTCTGTGCCAATTTCTACTCCTCCATCAAAACTCATCTCAGTTATGAACTCCTCTCAGAAACCTCCCCTGATAACTTCTTACCCAACCACCTCCAGTTTAGTATATGTGCTCCTATTGTGCCCTGGACACACTTCCAGCAGAACACATCCTACCCACCTCCTAGTTGTGTCTTCCTGGTCAAATTACCTGACCTTGAGTTTCCATTTACTCACCTGGAAAACCAGGAGAGTGTCTGCATGGGGAATACAAAGCACCCCCTCGCAGTCAACACACGGCAGCTATCACTGTAACTGTGAGTCTTCTGTACTAACATTGTTTACTTTTATCTCCTCTCCAAGACTCTGAGACTACAGACTGTGCACGAGCAATAGAGAAGTATTTGTCAAATGAGCAAAACAAGAGTAAAGCTGTACAGTTCAGCAATTTCTAATAAGTGGAGAAGGGAGAACTTCCCTGATGGCTTAGATGGTAAGGAATCTGCCTGCAACGTGGGAGACCTGGGTTCAATCCCTGGGTCGGGAAGATCCCCTGGAGAAGGGAATGGCGACCCACTGCAGAGGAGAATACGGCCCCAAAGACTAATGATGAGGTTGGAGAATGTTCACACTGCTCTATGGATCTTGCTAATACAGGATAACTACACAATTATACAATGTTCCCAGAGGCCTCAAAAGCAACACATTACCTAGCACATATTCTGTTCTCTGAAGAGCACAGATTTACTGCTAACACTAAAAATGCTGACTGATAAAGGAAAAGGCCTGCAGCCAGGAGGACGTGTGCATTACATTACCGTGGGCGAGCCGCTGGCTCTGAACGGCCTCCGGACTGTGCTCGTGTTCCGGGAGGGCAGAGCGGCCAATGACGAGGTCCAGGTCGTCCAACAGAACAACAGAGGGCTGGCGCCACAGCGCCTCCGAGAAAGCTGCCGCTAGGGTCTTCTGTATGTTTTCAAGCCTTTTTCCTTAACACAGGAGATACAAAGTGGTTTTAATGTTACTTGAAGGCTGAGAAAGTTCAGGCTGCCCTTGAAAGCATTAGAAAAGTTCAATATTGATTTGACTATGCAAATTTAATTCATACAGTATTTTGTTAATATACCAATCACTAAAATTGTTAGTTATTAACACAGTTTAATTAATACAGCTTCAAAGGACTCAGTAAAGTACTGAATTTTATAAAACTGAAAGACTATGCTACTATAATTTCTATACATATGTGTTTGTTCATTCCATGGAGAATTTCAGATCCCTATTTATAACAAAACAGCAAAATAAAAACAGGATGTGGGAAAATATAAATGAAAGTAAGGGGTCAAGAACCAGATAAAAGCAAACACAAATGTAGCTGCCTCAAGATCCTAGAATTGCTATATTTATATTACTAATTTGACTTCCATCTTCATGGTGAATTACAAACTTTTCATTTTCAAAGA